CGCCCCGGGCGGGACCCGGCCCGGGGGGGGGCTGAAGCTGCACCCCCTGGCCTCGCTGCGAAGTCCGCCCCGCCAAACCTGGCCCTGGGGGTAGGCTGCTCGGGCGGGGAGCCCTCAGTGCCGCGCCACCTCACCCCTGCTCTGCGACTGTTGCACTTTATCCGGTAGTAACTGATTTACCTATTTATTTAAGAAGGATACGGGTCAGCTCCATCAGCTGAGGGCATTTTTTTTTTTTTTAATGCTGTATTTAAAGATTTACATTAGCATGTTTTGTATTTCTATTTCACTGTATTGAGCCAAAAAGCAAACCAAATCCACTGTGTTTTGGGTGTGGGGGCTGGTCTTGGAAAAGTAGAAGAGTGGGATGAGTCTGTCGGGATTTTTTGACAGAGGAAAAAAAGAAAAAAAAAAATAAAGGTTTACATTTTGCTCTACTTGTTTGTGTACCTCGGGCAGGGAGAGGGTTTCTTACCTTGGCCGACATGGGGTGGAGAACAGAGGTGGTAGGTATCCCAGCTGCAGCTTCTCTTCCCAGGTCCTGGAGAGCCATGGCTGCAGTTTGGGTGTGAAGAAGAGACGTGATGGGGCCTGAAGGACAGGTTACAAAACCGACTTTAAATCATCTCCATTAGTATTTGCTTTAGGTGTGCTCTGAACAACCATCCATCCCTGAATGAAAATTCAAATCTATGGCCTAAGTAATACAAAACCCAAACCCTCAAATCATTGTCTAGGGACTTTCACAGAAGCTGTTTACATGATCAGTAGAGGGCTGAATGGCTCTGCACTGAGAACGCTTCTGAGCACCAAAATTAGTAGTAAGCAGAAGCCTCTCTTGTAATTCAGTCAGTTCATTAAGGAAGGATATAATATACATGTATTTTGAGGTTAAGGCCAATTCTTCCTGCCTACGAAGCTGTACTTCAGATCCTTGGCAGAGCAAGTTGCAAGACTTAGTTACGGAAGAGCACCTGAATGCCATGAGGCTCCGACGGTTTGGAAGTACAGAAAAAGTGACCCCTGTACTGGGGGCAGGACTACCCTGTATCAGAAGTGACACCCCACAGAATAAGGTTACCGATGCACAAAACCCCTTGGTGTCGTCCTGTAACATACCTGTGCTTGCAGGACCCGGGACAGCCGAACTGTGGTTGAACTGCAGGCTGGTGGGGCTACGTGGCATAGCAGGATTGCTGGTCAGTGTTCTCCCTCCAAAAACCAGAGCTGTCCTTGAAAAACATGAAGCAAAAGCCAACCAAAATCATGTGCCATCCACCCCTGGTGGATGTGGGTGCCCAAGGAGCTGTTGCATTAGGGGTCAGGAAGACCCTGGAAGAGAAGTACCTACAGCGGGAGACAGAAAACGAGGCAATCATTTCTTGGGGGCGCATGGTGAATTCAAGTTTACTGACCGTAAGAAACCAAACTTAACTTGTTCTCCTCCTGCAGACTTAAGTTACGGTGGTTGTGGCGAGTTCTTGAGGTTCCTACTACGCTTGGGCCACATTCAGCAGAAACGGTCATATTTGTTACTTTATTTCACCAAAACGCAGCAACATTAACTTGGACCCAACGCACCGGTAACTGAGGGGAAACGCAGCAGCGTGTATATTCATGTGGCCTACGTGCATTGGCCAAATGACGTGTGAAAGCACACTGATATCACAAATAACATATCTTCCTATTACCTTACGTTACCCTGCCACGACTAACAAACCCACCTCAGCACAAAACACGTTGGAACAAGCACATTTAAGAATCCGCACATAAAAAACATCCCATCTGCGGAATCAGAGTTAAGATGGGAGCGTGATGGTTACTACAATGCATTCTGTATCCAGTAAGGAATCAGTCTGTCAGGAAAAGTGGGTTCCCAAATCCTCTGTGCTGAATACCACTCTTGGTAGCGGGTATCTACCAGTGTCTACAACCTCCCTTTCCCCTCAGTTCGGATGCTTGCTATCAACAGGGCAAAGCTGGCCTCTGTGCCTGCCTGATGCTTCCTACTGGGAAGGGCAATTCCACAAAAGCACCCACGCATACGCTTCACCGGTAGGTAGGCAAGCAGGGTCCTGATGGTGTGGTAAGGGATGACGGAGGTCCGTATGGTAAGCCAGTGGGCCGCTGCTGGAG